TCTGACGTCAAAGAAAACGCTCCCCGGCGCTTCAACGTATATGCGAGAGAGGGGAAAGGAGTTTGCGAAAGAGAGAGACAGGATTAAAGGTCGTTCGCCCCGTCATTGGGTTCAAACGCCTTTCCTGAAGCGGATGCAATCTATAAAAACGCCGCGATGATAAGGACGAGGATGAGGATGCGTGCGATTGCGCGCGGGACACATCTCTCGTTTATTAGATGTCGCAAATAAACCTCCCGTCTCTCAAATGCAGATGAGAAGGGAAAGAACTGGTTTTCTTAATTCGCGCAGTAATTAACCGGGGCTAATAAAAACGCGCGGCGTGTTGACCACTTTATCACGAGTCTTAATCTCGAAACGATCTTAAATCCGAAAGCGCCAGAATAATCCGAACGAATATCCGTTTCGCGAGATATTCTCGGAATCGACGACACAGACACACGTATGCAATTTTCAATAATTAAGAATATAATCGGCACTATTTCCATGCTTGTCGATAACTTTAGCGTAAAAGCGACATTTGTGTGTGAAGAAAGTAGATCGATAACATTTTAAATTAGATGTGCTTCCATCATTTGAGGCTCTCATTTATGTAATTTCAAACTCTTTATTCCTAATGACAGTAATTATTTATGTTATATAATGTAGCATTAATTATAAAACTATATATGTGTAGATTATGCATACAATGATTTTATGTTTAGAGATTAGAATACTTTAGGATTAAATAAAAAGTTACGTTTAATTAATCTTTTGTTACAAATTTTGTAATCAAATTGACTATTTAAAAAAATCAAGGCATCTATAATTTTCAAGCGAATAACAATTGAAAATAAAATGATTTTCACGAAATAGCTTCAAAAGAAAAATATGTAACGTTATATTCTTTTAATTCCAAACAAAAATCCTAATTTCAAAATTTACTTCAATCATATATAATATTTAAAAAATTAGAAACACACACAAAGAGAGAGAGAGAGAGAGAAAAAGAGAGAGAAAGAGAAAGAAAGGTGCAAGATAAATAATATGATCTTTCATAAAATGTTAATAAAGAAAAATTTTTAAATTAATCAAAAAATTTATAATTTTTAGAAAGAAATATTTAGTGATAATTGAACGCGTGTATATAACAAAAAAAAATAAATATTTCATAATATTTGCAACCGTTTGAAATAAAATTTCGTTATTTTATTATAAAACAATTATAAAGAAGTTATACAATATAATCTAATAGAACGATCATATAACTCTAAGTAATAGTATTAAAATATTATTTTCTTTCTCTCTTGATTCGATATAAATTATAGATGGATGTCGAGAAAAAGGAATATTATCATAAATTTTATCATAATAACAAGCGACAGAATGAGACTAATCGCATCTTGCCCTTAGATTGATTGCTTTTATTTTTCTTTTTTCCAGCATGTATCACCCCCCCCCCCCCCAAAAAAAAAAGTAAGTAGTAATTCTCTCTTCTTCTATTCGTTCTGAAATAATAAATATAGTCGACGGGGGCGCGGATCTATTTCTGACTGGGGATTAATATTTGATGACGGCACGGTTGCTGCCAGTGTATCTAAAAATACGCAATCAATACCGACTACATGTTAGAATTAAACTCGCACACGCGCACGTGTTCGTGCATGTGTGTTTGTATATATGCGTACTTTAAGATTATCAACCCTTTTATCAAAGGATTAATTTCACATGGACACGCATATATAAAGTTTCAAATTTGGCTCAGAAATACACATAATATTAAACACTCGCGTGTCATGTAACATGCTAACAACATTATCTAACAGTGAAAAATTACGAGACAATACGGTAATCGAAGACAAATCATCTATATTTAATTAACTTCAAAAGTTATTTTTTTATGTTAATTGCTTATTTGTTATAATATAACACGTCAGATTAGAGATTTTCATATAAGTAAAAAAAATTTGCAATAATAATTTATAATTTATAAAGCCCACATACAAAATACAAATAATAATTATATATTAATTATAATTAAATAATAATATTTTATAATATTATAATA